TGTCCACTTTAATCACTTCTATTCAACATTGTTCTGAAGGTTCTAACCAGGCAAATTAGGCAAGAAAATGAAGTAAAAGGCATCCAGATTGGTAAAGGAGGAAGTAAAACTATCTGTGTGCACAGATGACATAATCTTGTACAGGAAAACCACAAGGAATCCAAAAAACTATTCAAACTAATAAATAAGTTACACAAAGTTGAAGGATACAAGATCGATATGCAAAAGCCAATTGCATTTCTACACGCTTGCAGTGAGCAATCCAAATATGAAATTAAGAAAACAATTCCATTTACAACAGCATCGAAAGGAATCGAATACTTTGGAATAGATTGGACCACGGAGGTACAACACGTGCACACTAGAAACTACAGAACAATGTTGAGTGACATGTTAAAAGGCCCAAATAAGTGGAAAGACATCCTGTGTCCATGGATCGCAAGACTTAATATTGTTAATGTGGCAATACTCCCAAAGCCATCTACAGATTGTACACAATCCCTATCAAAATGCCAGCTGGGTTGTTGGGTTTTTTTGGGTTTTGTTTTGTTTTGTTTTGTTTGTTTTGTTTTGTTTTGTTTTGTTTTTCACAAATGGACAGGCTGATCCTAAAATCCATATGGGCACACAAGGAATCCAGAATAGCCAAAATGATTTGGAAAATGGAGAACAAATTTGGAAGGCTCATGATTTCTGATTTGAAAACTTACTACACAGCTACATTAATCGAGTGGGGGAAGGAATGGTCTCTTCAACAAATAGTGTTTCAGAGAATACGGTTGGACCCCTACCTCACACCATATACAAAAAGTAACTCAAAACGAATCGAAGACCTAAAGGTAAGAGCTTAAACTATAACACTCTTAGAAGAAAACATAAGGGTAAATCTTTACGACCTCGCATCAGGCAATGATTTTTTAGATACGACACCCAAAACGCAAGCAACAACAACAAAATAGATCAATTTGACTTCATCGAATTTTTTAGAGAATCTTTTCTTTAATGTTTATTTATTTATTTTGAGGGGCGGGGAGGGAGGGCCAGAGAGAGAGGGAGAGAGAATCCCAAGCAGGTTCTGTGCAGGCCTGAACTCAAAAACCATGACGTCATGACCTGAGCAAAAATCAAGAGTCAGACACTTAACTGACTGAGCCCATCCAGGCGCCCCTGACTTCATCAAACTTAAAAAACTTGTGTGTTTCAAAAGATACCATCGGGGTGCCTGGCTGGCTCAGTTGGAAGACCCTGCGAGCCTGGATCTCAGGGTCATGAGTTTAAGCCCCACGTTGGGGATGGAGAGTCCTTAAATAAACAAAACTTGAAAAAACAGATACTATCAAGGTTAGGAGGTGCTTCAGCGAGTGCTTTGTTTTTTAGATGCCTCAGCAAACCTCCCTGACCACTTACTAGCTGTGCGATCTTCTAGACACCCTCGGACACTACCGCCATATGAGCACACAAAGACGGAGGTCCCTTGGAGAGGCCCGCTGGACCCCTAGAGATGCAGAAGGCAGCAACTCTTTAATGGGGCCACCATGCCCCACAGCCAGCACTCGAGCTGTCATTCTGCTGTATCTCTGGCTTCATTTTTCTGCATTTCCCAGCTGACCGTTTCAAACTGGCACTCTCTCTTTCGATAAATAATAATGTGTTCTGGGCAACGGTCAAGCCCTACTCTTCTTGCGTTTTGTACGTTAACAGCTTTATGGCATTAATCAAAATCTATTAAGTATGTCCTATACTAGGCACTGTTGCTAGGTAAGGTAGGCCTGAGAGATACGGTAGCTGAAGCGAAGAGAGATGGAAACAACTTAAATGTCCGTGGATGGATGGACGGATAAAAAAGATGTGGTATGTATACACAATCAAGTATTATTCAGCCACGACACAGGAGCGTATCTTGCCACCTGTGACAACACGGATGGCCCCTGGGCACATTACGCTAAGTTAGAGAAGTCACAGAAAGACAAGTAGTGTGTGACCTCACTTACATGTGGAATCTAAAAAAGTCAAACTCGAAAAACCGGGGATGAAAAGCGATATGGTTTAAGGCACGAACTTGGGGTGCCTGGGGGGGCTCGGTCGGTTAAGCGTCCGACTTCAGCTCAGGTCATGGTCTCCCGGTTCGTGGGTTCGGGCCCCGCGTCGGGCTCTGTGCCGACCGCTCGGAGCCTGGAGCCTGCTTCGGATTCTTTCTCTCTCTGTCTGCCCCCCCCCCCCCCCCCGATCTGTCTCTCAAAATAAAATAAATAAGCATTTAAAAAAAAAAGAAAGATTTGTATCCGAAGTGGGTGAAAATATTTTAAGCATTGGTACTTACAGGAGTGAGCTTTATTTATCAGAAAAATCACCATGTTTTTATTTGTCAAATAAAAAAGAAAATACCATGATCTGTTCCGTAGAAGACATTATTCTATAAGATACATACAGTCGTCCCAGGCTCCACTTACCTCAAAAAGCATACACACACACGTGCCCGTGCATACACACGCAGCTAAAATTGGGCAACAGGGACACCTGGAACACGATATTCTGAGACAAGCGTAGCCTGATGCTGTGGCTAGCTTTAGGAAAAAATCCTGAAGCAAACCAAGTTTTATCTGGGGCAAAGCGACTTGCATCACTACTAATAATGATAGCTAACACTTGGAGGATAGTTACTATGTACGAGGCACTCTTCTGGGGACATGAATTCATTGGCATCTTACACTGATCCTATGAGATGTGTGCTGCTATCCTTCCCATTTTACAGGTGGGGAGACTAAGGCGTAGTCAAGTAACATGCCCACAGCCACAAAGCTACTAGTAAGAAGAGAACTGAGATTTGGACCCAAGCAATCCAGCATCGGAGGGCATGATCAACCCACTACTAATAATTCTCCACAAATAACACTGCTAATACATGTCTATACTTCTTATGTCCCTGGTTCTCTGCTGAGGACTGTACATACATTATCTCACAGATCTTTTTCAGGTTGGAGCTCTTAGTGCTAAATTATTATGTAGTATCTCATTTAATCCTTAAAACAGCCCCATGAAGTAGTAATTCTTGTGTCGGTTGTACAGATCAAAATACCGAGGCACATACCCAAAGGGGGGAAAAGCACAAATTCAAAAAGATATGCACCCATATGTTTATTGCAGCATTATTTACAATAGTTAAGATATGGAAGCCACCCAAGTGTCCACTGATAGAAGAATGGACACGGATGTGTATATAAACCATTAAAAAAAGAATGGGGGTGCCTGGGTGGCTCGGTGGCTCAGTCAGTTAAATGCTCGCCTCTTGATTTTTGGCTCAGGTAATGATCTCAGGGTTCATGAGTTCAAGCCCCACATCGGCTGCTTGGGAGTCTCTCCCTCTCTCTCTGCCCCTCCCCTGCTCGTGCTCTCTCTCTCTCTCTCTCTCAAAATAAAAAAATAAACATTTTATTAAAAAAAAAAAAAAGAACGAAATCTCGCCATTTGTGACAACACGGATGGACCCAGAGGGCATTATGCTAAGTGAAATAAGTCAAGACAAAGAAAGACCATTATCATGTTATTTCAGTGATGACGTGGAATCTAAGAAACAAAACAAACAAAGCAGAAACCGACAAATACAGAGAACAAACCGGTGGTTGTTAGAAGGAAGGGAACTGGGGGGCTGGGTGAAACAGGTGAAGGCAGTCCAGAGGCACAAACTTCCACTTATAAAATAAGTAAGTCACGAGGATGGAAAGTACAGCATGGGGAATATAGTCAATAATGAGATAGTAACGTTGTATGGTGTCGAACAGTAGCTATACTTATAGTGATGAGCGCTGTGTAACACACAGAATTGGCAAATCACCATGCTGTATGCCTGAAACAAGTACAATATGATATGGCAACTGTACTTCCATTTTCAAAACTACAATCTTTTTTAAAGGAATGTGTAAGACTTCAGAATCATTTGAATGTACTATACTTTATTTATTTGACTACTCCCCTATTGCTAGATACTGACGTTGTTTCCCTGGTTTTTGCTTCTGCACATAAAGACGTGATACACACACGCGCGCACACACACACACACACACACACACACACACACACACACACAGGTTGAGGAACAGAAAAGTTAAGTAATTCAACACTCAGGCAAAGTATCACCTCCTTTCCAGCAACGCCCCCATATGTACTGTAAGGATCCATATAACATAACATAATGCGATGTAAGTTCATATACAATTTCTACCACAGGCCCACGTTTTCTCAGCTTTCCAAGGCTTCTGTTCTAAAGGGTTAATGGGAGGGGCGCCCGGGGGGCTCGGTCGGTTTAAGGGTCCGACTTTTGATTTCGTCTCAGGTCATGATCTCACGGTTCATGGGATCAAGCCCCGAGCTGGGCTCTGTGCTGAGCAGGAAGCCTGCTTTGGGATTCTCTCTCTCCCTTTCTCTCTGTCCCTCCCCCACTCACACTCTTTCTCCCTCTCTCAAAATAAATAAACATTTTTTTTAAATGCCCTTAAAGTGTTAATGGGAAAAAGTGACAATATACTTTCCTCTCTTCCCAGCTCAGGGGGATTATGGTCAAGGCTTGGATGCTGTAGTAAAAGATATTCATATTCCGGGGTGCCGGGGTGGCTCAGTCGGCTGAGCGTCCTACTCTTGATTTTGGCTCCAGGCATGATCTCGCGGCTCGTGAGTTCGAGCCCCGCGCTGTCAGCACAGAGCCTGCTTGGGATTCCCTGTCCCTCTCTCTGCCCCTCCCCTCCTCTCTCTCAGAATAAATAAATAAACTTGAAAAAAAACACCCTATTTAAAATATATATATATATATCACATTGTGAGTTGTAGATTTTGTTTTCTTTTGCTTCGGAACTGGTTTCTGGAAAAGGCAGACTGACGAGCCACCACTGCAGACCACCAATCTTAACCACGGTTTCCCTAAAGCGCTACCTCTGTTCAAGGGTCAAAATCAACCAAGCGCTTTTAGTACAACAGCATCTTCCTTAGCAGGGCCTGGGCGGGCTTACCTCCACCTGAAGGGTTGCACATCCTTTCAGGAAGTCACTGATGTTGTTGAGGCAGTCGGCTTCGGTTTGCGGCTCCAAACAGAACTAGAGAAACACAGTCAAATGTCACTTGGATGCTGTCATCCCATGCCAAGCACGCCACATTCCTCATTTGCTGATAATCCGAGAGGTAGGCTTTTTAAGGCAGGGGCAACACCGCTGTCAATCCAGGAAGAGAAATAACCACCGGAGGAAGTGATGTAAAAGTCTAAACGGTCGGTCCCGTTTCAAATGTCACTAAACCTCTAGTCCCAAACCATCTATCTCTGCGTGCAAACTTTTTCTTCGCCTTCTGCCAAAGTGTGGCGATAGCGAATTAGATCCAGGCTGTTTTTTGAGCTTGGTTCTTGCTTTTAACCTAAAATTATACGTTCCCCTTGGCCGTCTGCAACATTTGGTCATAGTTCTGTGTGTTTCACCACCATGTCAGCAGTGGTTTTCAAGTTTCAGAAAACTTCTGAGTCAATCAGTTGGCCCACTAAAAATGCAAACTGGTTCAAGGAGGCAAAAGAAGTACGTTACGCTCACGGTCATGTTCCCTGCCAACCTAAAGAAAGTGACAGGAGGACTTGACCTCTAAACTCACGTAAAGTGCCTACTTTAGAAATTAGCCATCCTCGTGATCATGGGTTCCCAACATTAAAACTTTTGGAGTCTAGAAGAGAGTAAGGTTAGTTTCGCTTTGAACGCATGTTGCATTCAAAACCTATATTTGGTTTCTGTTGTTTTACCAAAGCTTTCCTGACATTTTGGGTTTTTTCTCCTGGTTGCTAAATAGCCTCTGTTGCAATGGATATTTTCTTTCTTTGAGAAGAAAATCGCCATGGATTTTAGTCAGACTGTCAATAAAAACACCATTAGTATCTGCTCTAAATCATGCCATGATTACACAGACTCACATAGACCCCAAGTTCAACAGATACCTTTGATACACAGGGAGGTACCACATGGATCTCTATGACAGAGCAAATGATAGCAGTATTTCTTCCTTGTCCCCTGGCACCAAAGGTGTATCAGTTGTATTATATTTGGGGGCCAATCGTTAAAGGAGAATATTTCACTTTCAGAGTTTTTCAAAGTAGAAAAACAACAAGACAGAATGCCAAACTCTTAGCGATGAAAAGTAGGAGAGTCCCTGGCAATAGAACACCTCCAGAGTTACATTATTACCGCTCTCTGGCGGTAAGCAATGCCAAAGAGCCTTTCTCTTACCTTTTCTAGAGAGCCAGGCCTAAGTCTGTTGATCAGTTTGCACAGCACTACCCCATTTTTCAGCGAAGACTTCAAGAACTCCTCCGGATCACAGATGGTCTTTTTGGGGGAATCTAAAACCCCCAAGGATATAAGCCATGTCACGATTCGCTCTTCTGGATTCATTGCTGAGGACTGTCTGCTCTGAACAGCTCTCTGGGCAGCTGCAAAGACTAAAGCCACATCCGCGATTGCATCTGCTACTGTCTTCCGTTTTTATGAGTTCTCTGCTGGTGCTTGCAGAGCAAAGCATTTAAACAACTTTTCTTAGATAACGGGGGAGCCCACTCAACTTATGGGATCTTAAAGCCACAGAGATCACACGTAAAAGATGTAGAAATCGAATGCATAAAAATCCTGGAGAACGCTGGGCTTCTTCTTCAAAACCTGCAAAACAAATTCACTAGGATTAAAAAGAAGAAGAAACACACGCAAACACCGCCCCTCCCCCCCCCCAAAAAAAACCCCCACAGTGCAAGAAGCTGTAAGGGAAGGAAGTGAAGGAGAGAGTAGGAAGCAAGTGCTCTCGGAAAACAGAAAGGACCTTGGAGATGAGACACCCAAGGGCCGGTCTGGGAGAACACTGTCAATAAATAGTCTAGCCCCAGTGAAAATCTGGCCTCCGTCAGGAGGAAGATGCCAACTGGCTCTTAGGTCAGACAGATCTGAGCCTCGTGGGGAAGGTAGGCTGAGAAAACGTGCCAAGTGAATGAAGATTGTGCCTGCTGTCAGCCATCACGGTGTATACGCAGAAGCTAGAAGAATGGCATTTTACTTTGCAGCCAAAAAAGCTATGTTTAGGGAAATAGGCTAAGGATAACATCTGACATCCTGTTTACTTGCATTCTTTAGCAATTCCTTTTCTGGACCTGGTTCCACTACACAATCCAGCTGCAGTACCCTTAGCAAAGGCTCAGACACAGTCCCATAAGTGGGTCCAAAACACTTGAAAACAGAACTTTGGAGAACAAAAGAGCCCTTGTCCTCTGTCTATACTACAGTCTGGAAAGTGCACGCTTCCCCCAACAAGAAACACTTTGCGTTAAAAATCCTGCTCTGAGAAGAGAAAAAAAAAAACTGGTCTATAACAGACCTTGTTACCCTCAAACATTGTCACCACCCAGTTGAAATAGTCATAGAATTGGGAAACTTACGATAAGGCCAGTGTGAAGAGCATAGTCTTTTTTTTTTTTTATATTAAACATAACTTATCATCACATTGGTTTCCAGACAACACCCAGTGCTCATCCCAACGGGTGCCCTCCTCCATGCCCATCACCCACCTTCCCCTCGCCCCCACCCCCCATCTAGCACAGCCTTAAACTAGCCAATGCACAGTACTCCCCATCAGTCACCACCCCTCCTCACACAGAGGATCTTCCTAAGCTTCCGAATCCTTCTCAGCACAGCTTTAGACATCTACCACCAAATAACCAGCTTAGATGAGCTTCAAAACTTCCCCTTCTTGCCCTGTCCTAACACTTAACCACGCTTTACTATTATTACTTTTTGATACGTCTCCCCCACCAGAACGCAACCTCCCTAGAGCAGAGAGAGGTCTTGTCCGTCTGGTTTAACACCGTTCTCAGCAGCACCAGGGGCACAGTAGATGTTCCAAAATGAATGAATGAATGAATGAATGCACACGTATGTCTTAAGACAAACATGTTTTTTTTTCCTGGTCAGTGATTTTTACTTTTGAGATATAATTGACACGTAATAAATCGCACATATTTAAGATGTATGTACGATATAATGAATTTTGACATATGTATATACCTGTGATAGAACCACACACATACACACTCACACAATCCAGATAAAACTTTCCATCACCCCCAGATGTGTCCTTGTGCCCTTTCAATCCCCTCTTTCCCGCCTTCCCTTCCCATCTGCTTTCAGTCCCTGTACATTAGTTTGCATTTTCTGGAATCACATATAAATGGAAGCATACAGTATGGTACTTCCTTTTTTTGTTGTTAAGTATATTTATTTATTTATTTTGTGAGAGAGAGAGAAAGAGAGAGAGAGAGTGTGAGGGAGGGGCAGAGAGAGAGGGAGAGAGAGAATCCCAAGCAGGCTCCACGCTGTCAGCACACAGAGCCTGATGTGGGGCTTGATCCCACAACCACTAGATCATGACCTGGGCTGAAATCGGAAGTTGGACGCTCAACCGGCTGACCCACCCAGGCACCCCTGTGGTACTTCCTTTTACCTGGCTTCTTTCACTCAGCAGTATCATTTTCAGATTCATTCATGTTGTTTTGTCTAATAATAGTTTTAAAAGAAGGATTTGACCTCCAAATGTTTGATCTGATGTAATTATACTTAGAAACAAAATACGTACAGTCAGTCAAAAGTTTTAAGTGACGGGGTGCCTGGGTGGCTCAGTCGGTTAAGTGTCTGACCCTTGGTATCGGCTCGGGTCATGATCTCACGGTCCGTGAGTTCGAGCCCCGCATCGGGCTCTGTGCTGACATCTCAGAGCCCGGAGCCTGCTTCGGATTCTGTGTCTCCCTCTCTCTCTCTCTCTGCCTCTCCCCCACTTGTGCTCTCTCAAAAATGAATAAACGTTAAAAAAAAATTTTTTTTAATAAAAAAAAGATCTGCAGGAAGTAAGGTCAGTGTTAACATCTGCTGGGTACTAGTTACACTGTTTACTTTTACATGTTTGAAACGTTCATAATTGATGTTTAAATTTTTGGATCTACCTGGGCACTTCAAAAACAGAGTTGGGAGCCGTAGTCCCCAGTACCCTGCTTCAGAAGATCTGTTCTAAGGCACCGGAATCTAAATTACTAAACACCCCACTTGATTCTGACACAGGTACACCAAGGTCACACTTGGAGACACAAGTGGGTTTATAACCTTCCACTCTACCCCAATTTCCGCCAACACCTGGGTCACGACCACCCGGTTCCTTGACTTTCCCTACTTGCGATTGATGGGTTACCTCCAGCCCTTCTGTGAAAACGGACCTGGGCCTTTACATCATTTTTACTTTGCCAGCTGGCACGAGAGGAAGTTTTATCGGTAGCGGTAGCCGGTGATCGAGAGACATTGCAGAAGAAGGGGTTTTACTTCCTGTTTCCTGTGTGCTCGCTCCACAGGCTCTTGCCGGGTTTCCAGCTTTCCGGGTGCTCCCCTTCTGCATCCGAGTGCTCCCCTTCTATGACACTGGCTCCCTCCAGTGCACAGTGGGGAGCAGGTTCTCCTGGCAGCCAATCTGGGGGGGGGGGCGGTTTCTAAAGCAAGGTGCCTTTGGTGAGACACCTCCCCCATGAATAGGAAACAAGCACCGTAAAGGGCACATTCTCAGCAAGTTCTAGAGGGCAGATGTCCAGCAAGTTCCATCGACTCAGCCCCATGGCAGCTTCTATAACAAGGCCTGGATTTCAGCTGCATATTTTTTTTTTTAACGTTTTTATTTATTTTTGAGACAGAGAGACAGAGCATGAACGGGGGAGGGGCAGAGAGAGAAGGAGACACAGAATCGGAAGCAGGCTCCAGGCCCTGAGCCATCAGCCCAGAGCCCGACGCGGGGCTCGAACTCACGGACCGTGAGATCGTGACCTGGCTGAAGTCGGACGCTTAACCGACTGCGCCACCCAGGCGCCCCTCAGCTGCATATTTTTTTAGAGTTCCCTTTACTTCTTACTAGCCAATCCCTCATTACTCCAATCCCCTATTACTGTTCACAGTCCTGTTCAAATCTTGCTGTGGTTTCTCTGTCCTGATTGGACCCAGACTGACACGCCTCTTCATCTTCAATGAACACTCTTCCGTGTTAGCCAACCGCTTGTACTTTGTCATCACAGATTTCTCCCCTTCCTAAATCGTGAATTCAAACATCACCTGTCTCTAAGCACAACCTACCGTCTTTCCAGCTGCTTGTTTGGTTTCTCCCACTACAACTAGCCCCTAACCTTGTAGGGATCTTCAAAGCACTGTTTTCCAAAATGATTATACCATTTCAACAATCAGGGTCTGATTTCCCATTGCTCCACATCACAGCTAATACTTGATATTTCCGACATTTTTTTATGTTCGTGGCTGTGAAATTTACTTTTCTATGATTACTAATAAGGTGAAAGCATTTTATCATACGTTGATTGATAATATTTCCTCTTCTGTCAAGTACTTGCTCATTGCCATTATCCACTTTTCTACTGGGTTGTCTGTTATTACTGTCTTGTAAAAGTTTGTTATACATAATGGATACTAAACCAATGCTAGTTATATGTGTTTGTACATAGCTTCTTCTTTTTTAAGTTTATTTATTTATTTTTGAGAGAGAGAGGGAGAGAGAGGGAGAATGAGTGGGGGAGGGGCAGACAGAGAGGGGGACAGAGAATCAGAAGCAGGCTCCGTGCTGACAGCAGAGACCCCGATGTGGGGCTCATACTCACAAACCGGGAGATCACGACCTGAGCTGAATTGGATGCTTAACTGACTGAGCCGCCCAGGTGGCCCATCTTCTTTTTTTGAAGTTTATTTATTTATTTTGAGAGAGAAAGAGAGATAGTGGGGAAGGGGCAGAGAGAGAGAGAGAGGGAGACAGAATCCCAAGGAGGCCCCGTTCTATCAGCGCAGAGCCTGACATGGGGTTCGAACCCATGAACCGTGAGATCATGACCTGAGCTGAAGTCGGACGCTCAACCGACTGAGCCACCCAGGCGCCCCCGTGTATATCTTCCTGTACTCTTGTCTTTCTTCGTGGTGTAACATGTGGTGTATTTTAGGAAACAGAAGTTCTTGATTTTTAAAAATAAGATACTTTATCTCAGTCTCGGGTGAAATAAATCCAGAATTGGGCAGCCCAAGGCCAGCATGCAGCTTCATAGTCACGAGAGACCCAAGACTCTGCTTTCTCACTACCTCACCGTCCTTAACTTCCCACCTCATCGTTCAAAACGACTGTTTATGTGAACGTGGACTAGGCAATGATTTCTTAGATATCAGACCAAGGCCACAAGCAACAAAAGATAAGTTGGTCTTCATCAAAATTGAAAATGTCGCGCTTCAAAGGACACCATCAAGAAAGTGAAAAGACAACTCCAGAATGAGAGAAAACGTTTGCAGTCATATATCTCATTAGGGACTTGTATGCAGAATATATAAAGAAC